CCATTTTAATGATCACATGGAATGAATTGGTTACCATCTGTTTGACTGTGGAGGCATCTAACATTGATAAGACCATGGATCAAATGAAGTATTATAATCTTTTAAAATAAAGTATTTGATAATCACTTCATATAAACATATGAAACCAGTGGGAATAAAAAGAATACACACTTAATGATGTATACATATTGTGTTTAAAGAGATAAAATGAAGTAGAAAATTGAAGAAATTACCTAGCTAATTCATTATGGCAAGAAACACTAAAAAAAAAAATCTGAGTAGTAAAAGGAGAGAGGAAGAGTTACTTAAAGTGCTTTGCTTCAGTTCTTCCATTCATCTTGAATGTCAACTATCATTACAAGTTAATAAAAGTAGTTTTCATAAAAACAAATATACAGAAGCATAAATTTAAATATCTTGTTTCTTATGCCCTAGATAGATATGAATATGACCAAGTTCCAAACACTTAACTATTCACAATCTTTATTCTGAAAAGATGTCTATCTCAAAAGTAAAGCCTAGATTTCTCCCTAGATAAAAGAATCACAAACTTTATTTAAAAATCTAATCCAGTGAAATACTTGGTTGACTATAAAAAAATTAACTTTAAGTCCTTAGAATAATGAGGAAAAAACTGGACCAAAATAGTTAATTTGATAGTTTTAATATTAAAAAATGCGAATGCAGTATATTAAAACTGAGCTGATCGATTCTGCAAAAAAGTTCCAAAAAGCACCAAAAGGCTAACTAAATTAAAAAGAAAAACAACAACTCAAAGGTTGATTAAAGCTATAACATAAATTTCAAAAACAACCAGTATATATAGAGGAATGGATGATATGTACTACAGTGACCTTATCAGAGGTCAAAATATCTGTTAACAAAGACAAAGTCTATGTGCATACCATTTTCACTTAGAGCATAGAATTATAGATTCAGAGGTGGAAGAAATTTTAATCATCCAATCCCCATATCTTACAAATGTAAGGCAAAATCTAGATACAAAATGAGGTTTTTGTTCTCTAAATCTAGCACTGGCCAGTATTTTCTTGAGTTTACTGAGATAACCAAGGTAAATCATACCGCTGAAATATGATGACATGCCATTACTCATGTACATAATACTAATGCAATAAATCAAAACTATAATCTGAGGCACTTCCTAAGAAATCTAAAGAGGCATCACAATCTGCTTCTACTTGAAATACAAAATAAGAAATCCTACAAAATCTACAAATACTGACCACTGGTAAAGCATATGACTTTGAAAGAACAAACCCATATGTGACACCATGCTCTGGTTAGAATGTAAACATATAACTCAAGTTCATTGACTGCCATGCAAATGAAGACAGAATCACTGGCTACAAAAGCTTCTCTCTAATTTTAACATCAATAGTCCCTAAATGCATGTTATTTTTTCTTCCTGGTGTATAACTGAAGGCATGCCAAAGAGGTCCCAAGCTATGGTTTTAAAGAAGAAATATATATATATATATATATATATAGAGAGAGAGAGAGAGAGAGAGAGAGAGTATTATATAACAAAACTTAAAATATATTAAGATAATATGTACTTGCATAATTTTGCAGTTTAGAATGCAATATGATGGCCATGTCTGCATGTAGCACTGATTTGAGGTGTTCTCCCCTCAATGAATACTCCTATCTAGTATGCTTTTTGAATGGTACAGAATCCTACAGGATAGTAATAGTTACATGTTTTGCTACTCAACTGAAACCTTATGTATAGCAGAATGAAAACAGCAACAATATGACATAGACAACAGTTTCTATCAATTCTGTATTTGTCAACATATTGCTCCACGTATAAAAAAATGTCCTTTTCACTTGTTTTAAAAAGGCAGCTACTTTCTTAAGATATTAAAAACTTTCATATGTGTAAATGATTTATTTTGATAGCAAAGCATCTTATAGTTAAATGTGTACTACAGTAGAAAGAACATATCCTAATTTCTTCTAACAAGGAGTCCTGGTTATCAGTGATTCCCAATCTTGGTGTTGTCAAAACAAAACTTATAGTGCAAAGCCATAAAAATTACACAATGATACTATGTCACAGACTCAGGAAATATAAAGTAAACAGCTACCATGTGAAATCTCTTTCTTATCAAATGTAGATTTGAATCTCTTTAAAAAATTAAATATGATGTTGTTTGGAGCTTGTATTGTTGGTAGTTTTAATATACCTAGTGTTGCTAAAAATTACTAAAACAATGAATGTTGATTTTTAAATGTATTTGTATGATGTGACAGAAATAGGAGATTCTTAATTTTAATATAACATGACAGCATAGTTACATAAAAAGGAAAATGTTCACATAATCTATTGTGCTTATACATAATGATGCATATCCTATACATGAACTTTAATAATAATTTCCCCACAATTGTAGCTTTTAATGGAATACTTAGAAAGCTATATCAATACAAATTTTAAAAAAATACAAATTTTAAAGATTATGTACACTTAAAGTTTGTTTTGTAATTCATATATGCCATATATATTTCTGTACATATGTATTTATATGTGTGTATATTATATATATAAACACATAGACATAATATTATATATGTATATATACATATATATAACATATGAGTCTATTTTTAAGCACTTCAGAGAAACCATTGTTCTGCCATAGCAACAGTATTTAAAATATTTAAGATAATTTTAATATTATTACATATTAATCAATTTATTTTGGAAGCATCCCAAATTGTTTTTTCATCAATAATTAGTGTTTATTAAATTTAAGTACAATAAAAATATCTTGTCATTAAAAAATACCTGTAGAAATGTCAAGTCATAGTCAAAGTGATCTGTCATTTATTATGCTGGGCATGTCTGTCTGTGTGTAGTGATGGTGGTGATAAAGACAAACTCCATTGCCTTTGTCTACTGTTCAGTTTGACAGAGATTTACAAATGTGCAGGTCACTTGCTGTAGTTGCTACTTGCCTATGTGTCTCTTTTCAGGTTCTGAGTTCCCATGACTCCCTGTCATACCATAAGCCAACATTAAAAAAAAAGAATCTTTCTGAAATAGAACATACTATCACAAGGTTATTTTTTTTAACCTATAATAACCCCTGCTCCATAAAGTCACATATGTAAAACATTGCATCTGGTGTAGTGGTGATAAGGCAGTTGAGGAAATGAAAAGCATTGCCCTATAGCTGTACTAATATGTAAAAAGTGGAATGGATAATTGACTTAATCCAAAAGAAACATACTTTCATCCAAACAGCCCTCTCAGTCCATGAGTTAACACAACCCATGTGTTAAATGTGTTTAAAGAGTTCAAGTTGTAATACTCAGAAAGCACAATTAAATATATCTTTATTCAAGCTACTAAGGGAGGTTCATGCAAATGAAAGATGCATGGCTTAAATTATTATAAAAGAAACATTCATACTTTCTAAGGCTTAAAATTATCTTAAAAACTCCAAGACCTAATTTTTGTCTTTTCTATCCATTCTATCCTTTTCTTTCCATTCATCGTACTTTATCCCAGTAAATAACACAATATTATAGAGGAAATCATCCAGTAACATTCTTCCCCCCAGCCTCAGAGATTTCACTATAATTCTCAGAGTATGAGAAGCATAGGTCCCTCTATTGATCTTAAAAAGGCAACTACTGGGGAAGCCCTGCCTCTGGTTTGTTTTGATCACCACAGGCCTCCCACTTTAAGAGAAGAAGGTCTGCCTCAGATGCTAAAGAACATAGCCAGAACAAGATTTGTTTTGATTTGCTCTAGTTGCTAAGACAGCAGATAATTAAGACCAAATAAAATGTGGCCCTGCAACTATATCTAGGAAAGGAACTCTCAGGCCAGTGATGTTTTCAAAGCACAAATATAGAGTCTAATATGATACTGCCCTTGTCTGTACTTTCCTAGGTTCTGTGGTGGGTCAGCCACAGGAAAAGAAGAGGCTAGAGTGCCTATTTAAAATTTAAATGAAAGTGGTATGCTTTCTTTTTTTCTAATGAAAATAGAATCATAAAAAAGCCTTACATTGTTAATCTTTCCAGGTGAGAAGGGTTAGTCCTAGCATATAACAATGAAACTTATTGAGATTTGGTCAGCATTATATCCCTACCAAAGGTCACTGCAGTATCTGTTTATATCCACTGGAGTCCTTGAGCTAGTTTCAGCTTCAGCACCTCGGATAGCGATGCACTTCTCAGATAGGACATCTATACAAGGACCGTCTCCACTGTGATAAGCTCTACTGCTTGCCTGAAAACTGTTGATTGATGTGGCCTGACAACCAGTAAATGTCCCCAGACTTCTATTCAACAGTGCGGAGGGGATCTTTAAGGGGGCTTAGCAAATACTAATTTATAACATAAAGCAGTTTTCTTATAAGAATTCTGGAGAGCATCCTGACAGACAAAGCTGTTATTATTAAAGAATTTTCAGAGAAACCTGGGAAGTTAAAGAGGCTAATTAACCTCTCTCTAGTAGACAACTCCAGCATTTCATACAATCAGAAATATACCTGCAAGCACTGAACTGAATTTGTCTTTTCGTCTTAACCAAATACCAACAACCACTGCTCTTATTTCACAAGAAGAACAACTTTAGGATGTCACAGCAAGACAGTTCTTGTGGAAACACATGCCTGAATTCACACACACACACACACTACTTCACTTTCTACTGTGACTAGTTTTACTCAGTGGCATGTAGTCCCTACCACTACAGTCCACATTGAGACGGTCGAAGAACACAGCAGAGTTTAAGACAATTGTATGGAGGTAGAAATGGAATTCTGTTATCCTAGAAAACCAAGATTTCCCTGTTCTAGAAAAGAATCCTGTTGCATTAGACAACCAGACAACCCCTGTGTCTGGCAGCCTTTCAAGTTACCATAACCACAAGTAACATAAACCATGGGAGTGGGGAGGGGAAATAAATACAAAAACTCTAAAGTGATCGCACATAGAAGAAAAGACACCATTGATCCTACCTTACAATCCTTAGGACACGATTTCACTGAGTACTCATCCGATTGCAAATATTTCTTGAGCACAAGCTCAAACTCATCGTATTTCTCCTGAGCATGGTGGTCGTAGCGTTGGTAAGCCTCAACGCACTGCCTGCAGCTCGTCCTCTTCCTGTCCTCCTGGAGCACCACGTCCAGACTACAGTTCAAAGAGTCCGGATTGGACAACCCAGAGAACAACTCCCAAAACGTGTAGGAATTACAAAAGGGAAGGTAGAAATCCTTCAAGTGAGGAGTTTTATGCTTCCCTGTCACCTGCTGCTGGGGCTCCTCTTCTATTACCTGACTCCAGTTCCTCTGGCAAACGGAGTCCGCATCCTCAACTATGAAACACTGGCCTGAGGAGGCTGCCTCAGGGTAACACGTCTCCAAGCGCCACAGAGGTTTGGTAGAGTTTCCTAGAAAAATAGCCTTGTTCTGATTTTTTTGTCCTCTGCTGCTGTGGCCGCTACTGCTGCTACTGCCGCCGTTGCCGCCGCCGCCGCCGCTGCTGCTCCCGCTGCTGCTGGGAGAGGGGGGGAGGGTGGGTGATGAGGAGGAGGAGAGGAGTCTGTGTGCCTGTACGGTAGGCGAGGACTCCCCCATGCTAGTATATAGCGCTGGCCAGGAGGGCTCCTGCTGCCGCTGCTGCTGCCGCTGCTGCTGCTGCTGCTGCTGCCGCTGCTGCTGCTGCTGCTGCTGCCGCTGCTGTTGCTGTTGATGTTGTTGCTGATGGTGATGCTCCTTGTCTCGGGTCCTGGTCAGTTTCGCCTCGGCGCAGAACCACAAGTGATCAGAGAGCAGGACTGTGAAAAACAAGAGAGATGCCAGAGACAGTCGCCATTTCTGAGCCCTCTCTGAATCAGTGAACGGTTTCTCGTTCTCCCGGGGTGCTGCAAACCAGATTTTTAAGCCGTCATCATACTGCCGACACATCCAAGCACCCCTGGTCATATTTTGGGAACGCACAGCCCTGGCCGACTCCACTGTGAGGGCTCCTGTGCCAGAGTCACCACAATATGCATTGACTTAAAGGGTTTAATTTTCTTATCCCCTCCTCCCGTGTCTCTCTCTCTCTCTCTCTCTCTCTCTCTCTCTCTCTCTCTCTCTCTCCTTTTTTTTTTCTTTTTCCTACAGAAATCTCAGGTTCTGTAGGTAGATCTGACTTGCATTAAAGCTAATCATCAGTCAGACCCCATCCACTCTAGAGTGGGAAACAATGATGCGGAGAGAGCACAGAAGAGGAGAGAGAGAGAGAAAGAGAGAGAGAGAAGGAAGGAAAGAGGGATGGTGGTGGTGGTGGTAGTGGTGGTAGTGGTGGTAGTGGTGGTGGTGGTGGTAGTTGGTGGTGGTGAAGGTGGAGGAGGAGGAGGTGGTGGTGTGGTGGTGGTGGTGGAGGTGTGGGGTTGGTTAGCTCGTTTCTCCTCTCACCCAGGCATTGTCAGACCTCGGTTCCCCATCGCTCTCTTGAGAAAATCCCGCTATCCCCTGACAGCTGCATGCCGCTTCCCTGCAGCCGATTGAAGGCAAAGAGAGCGTCTCCCCTCCTCCTCCTCTCTTCCTTCTCTTCTTCCTCCTCCTCCTTCTCCTCCTCCTTCTTCTTTTCCTTTTCTTCCTTTTCCTCCTCCTTCTTTTCCTCCTCCTCTTCTTTCTCTCTGCCTTAGTCCAGAGCCTTGGCAGAAGTCGACTGAACCTCTCTCCCTCCCCCCCCACCCCCCACCCGGCGCTCTAACTGGTGAGCTGCTGCTGCAGGTCTTCCTGGTGGCGCCTGCTACTGCTGCTTCTGCTGCTGCTGCTGCTGCCGCCGCCGCCGCCGCCTCTGCTGCTGCTGCCGCCGCCGCCGCCGCTGCCCCTGATCCTGCTCTTACTCCTGTTCCTGACGCTGCTGCTTCTGCTGCTGCTGCCGCCGCCGCCGCCGCCGCCGCCGCCGCTGCTGCTGACAACACTTGGTTGCTGCGGTAGCTGCCGCCCGGCGCGTTTTCCCCCGGCACACTGGGCGGAATTGCCTGGATTTTGTCTGCCGATGGCCACAGTCATCTTTGGTCCCTGGGCTAAGTTGCCGCCATCTTCGTCCTGAAGAAACACTTTTTTGGGGGGAGCTCAGCCTTTTGCGTCATCTCCTCCCGCGCCGAGATCTCTCTATCCTGGCGCATTGGCATCAGCTCCTGCCCAAGGAAGAGAGGAAAGGAGAAGGGGGAGGAAGGGGTGGGGAAAAACACCGGGGGAGTAGTGCTTACCCTCGCCTCCCCTACTCTCAACCTGGGGTTCCCTTATCTTATCCTTCCGCTCCTCTTTCCCAGAAGAAAGTCAAAATTCAGGATCCATGCTTCTTGTAATCATTGTATTCTTCTGCATCTCCCCCACCAATTCCCTCTCTCCTTTTTGCACCTGAAACAACTCCTAGTCCCAACTAGAAAGGTGTAGTGAAGAGGTGTGAGGGCGGGGGGCGGGGAGGGTTAAGTATAACTTGTTTAAAACATTTCAATAACTAATAGTCCTTGTCAAATGAAGATGAATGCTGAGGTGGACAAGAAAGGGAGGGGAATAAAAGTAAAAGAACTAGATAAGGGTCAGAGGTAATGTTTAGTCCATCTGAGGTCTCTCTGGGCATGTGTTTAGGAAGACCAAAATGTTAGCGTTGCTTTGCTAATAGGCATAGCGCATGGACTCTGTTTGGGGTATTCAGTATATCCCGAGGGGCGAGACTTTATATATGTGCTACATTTTTTTTTTCATATCCGAAAACGAACTTGTCCCAAAAATGGAATATAAAATATTTCACCATGGGGGGGTGGGGAGGGGGTAGGGAAATCACAGTGACTGCTGCGTTTCCACCTTTGTCCAGTGAATTTAATTCTCAGAGGTAATGCTCTTGCAAATCAGCTGTGCCCACCTCTGCGTTTATCCCTTTAATTCCTGAGCCATCTTGCTAACAGCCTTAGCCCCCGGCCTCAAATAAGTTATATATGTATTTTTGGTTTGTTTGTTTCAGAAGACTTCTGCAGCAGTCAGTTTCTGCTGGATAGCAACTGCTGCAGTTCGATTCTCTAGTGCCCCTTAGTGTTCGCTCCTGGGCAGAAAAAGAAATAAACAAAGCAGAGCTGTACTTGGAAAGTATACAGTGGGGTTAGGTCGTTCTGAATAAATGAGTTTTGGTTGATAGGAGCACTTCATATAAAAGTATCTCACTCTATACAGCCGCAATGCATGCATTTCTAAGCATTTTTTTTTACTCAAACACAACTATAACAGTGAATAAATGACAGCTCAATCATACATTGCTTTTTTTTTCCCCCAAAATGGTTGAGGTTCCTTCAAAGTCATTTCTTCCCCCAATATTTCCCAGCATCATCTAGAAAAAGTCGGTGTAGTCTGGCACTGACTAAAAGCTTAAGTTAGTCTAAGTAATGAGCCTAAGCCCACCACTAGCTGAATCTTTTCCTACACACCGAAGAACATCCACTGAGGGCTGTCCTTTCTAAAGGAACTCCTTGGTGTTTACAAGCTATTGGCTAGAGAGTTCAACTTAAGTTATCAACTTCTTTTCAGTGTTATCTAGTTCATGGTACTCTGTAAAACTGGGTCGCCACTTACTGGAAGCAATGATTCTCTATATGCAATAAGTTAACAACATATTGAACTTTAGAGTATAATCTGATGTATTAGTAAACTCAAGCAATATTATTTGAGTTTGGTGTTTTTGAATGAAGCCCCATACTCCATATTTAATTTTAACTAGCTTATTGTTCAAGTACAATTCTTACAGAATACTAGGAAAATATTTCTTGGTGGTTTCTTACTTTAAAGGTAAGTGAAGGTGAAAACTCAGTAAGGATATGACTTTCAAGCATTCTCCACTTCATCATTTTAAAATCTGCCTTAATCAGTCTGGTCATGACCCAAGATTGTCCATAATTTAATCATTTCCTTACACATTTCTGGCATTAAATGGGTTATTTTGTTAAGATCAAAAAGCTTATAGAAATATACCTGAAACAAACTGACAAGTCTCTGTTTTGTTCCCCAGCCAATCCTGTCACTCAGGATTTAGTTTCTTCATTATGAATTTAAAACCTTTGGCCACATAAATCAAGTCAGAATTCCATTTTATCCTTTCTGTAAGATCACCACTTAGATTCACCTGAGGTAAAGAGATACATTGCTTCTTATTAGAAAGAAAACACACACACACACACACTGGATAAGAACCTGTAAGTAAAAGCACCATCATATGAAGCTTGAACAGTAGAAAAGTGAAAAAATTCCCTTTTCTCTAAGTGTCATAAATTGCAATTAATATAATTTACCTTTCCCTGACAAATTCAGTATATGATTTAAATTTTTTTTCTAACCTATATTCTTCCTATTGACTCACTGATTCTTTTTTCCTTGACAACTGTACTTAGTGGATTCAAATCACATGTTTTTTGGTTAGTCACCACTCCCTGCTTCTGTCTCTATCTCTGTCCCCTCCCTCCTCCAGTATCTGTCTGTTTCTCTACTCTCTCCCTTACCCTTCACACTTTCTCTCATCCCCAGTCCCAGGATGTTGTAGCAGATGAGGGAAATTCAATTGGAAAAGTCATCAGTGTATACTGAAGAAGTTCCACTTCACACATCTCCTTGCACTAGTGAAGTAAATGATTCTCCATACCTCTTAGAACAAATTCTTTTTGGAAATGATGTTTGAAAGGAAAAGTCAAAATTGATTAAGTCACGTACTCCCTCAAGAGTCACGAGGGGAAGGTATGAGGGAGTGGTTAGTTAGAAATATGAAGTAATACTTCCAATAGTTTTAGCCTTGTAAGAACAGTGGATGTAGAATCAGAGGACCTGAAGTAGTCCCAGCTCTGCCAATAACTACCTGTGTGACCTTGGACAAGTCACTCACCTTCTCCAAATCTTAGTTTCCTCAACAGTAAAATGAGACAAAGACCTTTCAATTTCCTGCTAGCTCTAAAAATTCACTATCCTATCATCTTACTCTTCTTTTTATGTCACTTTTAATCTCTTGGTTGCAGTTTCAATCTAATTCTTGGTTATAATAGTATCAACAGTAAAGTCTAAAGTGCTGGCAAACTTTTTTTTTTCCAATTAGGGAATCTTTTTTCCCCAATATTTCTTCACCTAAAGAAATAGTGGAAAAACTCCTGATATGGAAAAGAAAGGCACTAAGATAATGGATAAAATGCATTGCACTTAAAGCATATAAATTTTTTATTTAGTTGGTTTTTTCTTCTGTGTAGTGTAGTCTATTTTACTCTCTCCTCCCCTCTCCCCTCTTCAGTTTTGATATTCTTGTTTTTTCAGGCTTTTTTTTTTTTGGTACTGTTACTTAAATTCTGCTCTCTGTTGAATATTCCTGCTATTGATTGATAAGACCCACTACAGCTCTAGAGGATGTTTTATAATGCTCAGGGCCAGTGGAATGATGGAGGTAACACAGTCTTAAAATTATTTTTTCAAAGTAGCTGATGTTTAAGTCATATTTGGATGGCTTGATTACTGACATCAGGTTCACCAGTATAGTCCCTATACAGCAAATATTCAATATTTAAATCCAATATTTAAAACAACTACAATAATCATATTCTCATCTGCAAAGCCAAAGCCCCTTTCTGCTGGGTGGATTTTGTGTGATACAAAGAAAACCAAGATCATGCCCATTTCAGTTTTGAAACTCAGAATATTTGCATAACACAAAGTTAAGGAGGTATTTTTAAAGCATCTTCTTAAACTGATTTATATTAGTAACTTAATCCAAGATTTAAGCTTAAAATAGTCACTTGTTAACCTGACTAAACTTAGATAATGGTCTATACTGATTTTATTAATCAGATTTTTTTTCAATTTTCAATTTCTTAGATTACTATATAGTTTCAATGATTAACAAATAGCTTCAAAGACTCATAAGCTAAGATTCTAAGGTTTTTTTTTTTGTTTGGTTTTAAGTGTGCAAACTATTCAGAAAAGGTCATATTTTGTTTTTAAAATGCACTGTGTGATGGCATAAGAAACTCAATTTATTTAGTAATGTATTTCTATTGTGACCTGGCCATAGT